TCAAACTGCTCAGCCCAAAGCTCCTAGCGTTTCCACAGGTTGTGGATGGGCTGTCCACTCTCGTCCCGTATAGTTTCACTAACACCAGGTCTCCTGCTGCCCGTTTCCCGTATCAGACGGAATAACTTACGATTGTTACCAAGGGCAGCGGCGATTTCCATCTCTGATGCAAGATGATACCCCCAGGATTCGTGGTCTCTCTTCAGGCTAGCACGAAGTTACGCCCGGAGCACTTTGCCAGTTTCATTGTGTTCGTTTCCTGCCGGAATTTGCCGGCGAGCGTCGATAAGTTCCAGAGACTGCGAAGCGACCCAATATCCATGTTGGCGATTAAACTCACTGAGGATTTTCCTGCTGCTAGTAAGGTCTGGCGAATATGAGACCACTGAGCTTCAGCTGCATCCAATGAGCACTTACCCAACATGCATGACAGTATATTTTGATAGGCATTTAGAACTGCTGGCTTCGCCAGTTGGCTGGTGTCAGTACGCTTACAAGGTCGTGGGCTCACAACATGGGCGTCCGCCAAAACGCATTCGCATGTTAGCACATACAAATGCATGATCGGTGTCCACACTTATGCTCAAAATTGAGCGACAATTCTGGGCGCAGCATCTCCGTTGGTAACTTAGCGAAATGTGATCGACTTGCGTATATAGCTGGTTCGAGGCTGGTGGGCGGCAAGTCAACCTTAGGCGGGAGTTGTGTCGGAAGTTAGTGCTCGTAAGAAATAAGCGAGCATTTTCATACAAATGAAGTAACCGATCACCGTTATCGTTACGGGAGTTTGCACCATGTTGGCAGCAAAGATGTAGTTCATCAGTGGATAATTTTCTAACTTGAGCTTACAGATCCCCAGCAACCATAACAGTGTCCGAACTTCTTCTGTGGCGAAGACGCCTGTTCAGTGGGCGATGGAAGACGTCTTTTACGGAATCATCGCTACAGTTTGTGGGTGCATAAGCAGCGATGCCGATTAGAAACCTGTTAGTCCCGTGCGGTTTTCAAAGCTTTGAACGAGCCAGCCAATCGGACCGCACACAACCGTCTCCTGATTGAAATCCAATCAAACAGAGCAGCCTCAGCCCGAAAACTCAGAGCAATTCCAACACCGGCTTGGCCGGTACTCAAAGCTACATCGTAACCGGATAGGCGCAATGAGAAAGTGCTGCTGGTGTCATCTGAAGGGAATCGCAGTGAGCACTGAGCTCCAAACTTGCAGACGGGTCTCTGATAAGCACCAAATCTCGATTGAGAGGGTCTCCAATGTTCAGGCAAGTGCTGCCTGTTGACCAATCTGAAGCAATGTGCGTACATTGAGGCATCCAGTCTGAAGGGTGATCATGGGCTCCAAATGGAAGTCGATGAACTGGACCTGACCGCTTGCTTGGACATGGGCCTGTTGATAGGCCAGGTATGACCCTCTGCGTTCACATGTGATTTGAAACTGAAAGGTAAACACCTATCAAAGCGAGGTTTGGGAAGGTCGAGAATTTGGGGGTTGGAAACAGGAGGGATACAAGTGAAGCTGGAACGGGTCAGTAAAAGTGGAAACGCATAAGAGGGGGAATCAGAAGAAAAGTGGGCTTGAGCAGTAGCATCTAAATCCCTATCCACCTTGCACGAAGCAGCAGATGGGGCACCGTTGATAATCCTCTGCGGTGGTCAGAGCATCAAGAATTTACTTGACGAATTATTCGTAGTATTGCATGGGCAGGATACTGTCAGGTTGCCCAGGCCTAGACAGTAGAACGATTAGGGTTCTCAACTAAAGCCTTTGGTTACTAAACCTGACCGCAAGGCATCGGGTTTGGCGGTGGGCTAAAATAGGTCCGTTTAAAAGCATAAGGAGCCAACCTTATTCCAACGCCCAACCTGAAGGACCAGGAGGCTGAGTTTGTCTGGCCTCTAACCATTGATCAGTCTGATATGATTGGCTCTTGAGGTGCAAAAAAGCACCACCCAGTATTGCTCAATGGAGCTCTGAAGCACGCAAACCATCGTATCTCATGGCGGTAAACTAGCGTCTCATGATTACTGCAGCTCAAAGGAGTGCCGGTTAGTTCAAAGTCGATCATGACTTCCACATTGGTAAAAGTGGCGTCCAATATGGCTGGCTTGTTTCCTGTCTTGAATTACATTTTAGGGATGACGTGGTTGGTGAATGGTGAACCAGCGTTTAGCCCTTACCATTTCGCATTTGAATGGTTAGCGAGAGTAGCTGAGGATTCCTAGGTATGCAGGCTTATTTCCCCAACCTGGAGAATGTGACTTTAAGATCGTTCCAGTAGTTAATTCATAGCGGAGGCAAGAGCTAGGTTCATTCCTAAAGTGGACGTTTGTAAATGGTACGTAATTGCAAATAAGCATATATTGCCTACCTTGGGTGTAGGCTGCACCTTAGGTCGTTCATGCTGTCGACTTGAAGGTCGCAACGGAAGTATGGAATTACTCCGCCTGCCTTAGTAGGTCCGTCGTTGTGCACGAGTGATATATCAGATGTTGTGCGACCTCTCTTCTAGGTCAGTATAAGTTGTGAACTTTGCAGACGGCAGCTTTGGCCCCTGCATGCGCTTCGCCGACCATACCCAGTGAGGCAAAAAGGCCATCTTTTTTACTTATGGATAAGTGGCAGCCTGCGACAAACGCACAATACCACTACAGCAAAGTCCCCTACTTAGGGGTTAATTAGCCGTTATTGTGATACCTGAATGATGGGCAGAGAATATCATGCGTCTGCGTCTATAAGCCTGGCGCTAGGTCCCCTCTTTAATATAATGCAAGCGGGCGTGGTCTCTACATCAGTGTTATTTTTTTAATGAACTTCAGACGGAGCCATCACATATTGTTTTATCGTGAGGTCGGGAAGCTCGACAATAATTTCCCAGATCTTTTGTTTCCTTCTTTAACTTCAGTTGAAATGTGGTCTCACTGAATCTTCTTAGGGATCTACATATGCGGTAGACTAGTATGTATAGACTGGCTGGGCCGTTTCACTGTATATGAAACATACCCCCATTTGCGTTCCTTCCACCGTGGTCATTGTTCGGTTGAGCGGGTACCGACTACTTCAACTGGATAAAGCAAACAAAAGTCGGCATTGAAATAAACCTTGAACATTTGCTGGCTGAGCAAGCTAATCGCATTCAATCACAAAATAAGCGATCAACTTATTTGGAGTAGGGACCATTAAAAAACCACTTTTCTTCTTGGTTATAAAATAACGCATTTTCCAGGTGCACATCTCAAGTATCACGATTTCGGCTTTGGAGATAACAAAAAAGTGCTAAGTATTGCTGGTTCAAACATGATGTTATATCGGTAGTTGCACCAGCTGGTATTTCCAGACTTTATTCCGACTACAACTTTAGTACTACTTGCTACATTTGGTTTGCTTGCTGGTGTTTAAAATTAGTATAAAAATGCGCCGATCAACATTCAAAACTGTGAGCGGTAGTTATATGTAGCGAGCATCTGTTAGTTTGTAAGGTCGATAGATTTAGCCCGAAATATCTGTCGTTATTGTTTCACGTATAACATCTGCAGGATTTTGGGTAGCGAAATCTTCAGGCAATTTAATTAGTACTAACTCCCTCAACTTCCATTGACCTTTGAGCACAACATTTCTTACTAGATTCAATCGTTGTCATCTCGTTAACATGGTATATCAAACAGGGCATTACTCTTGCTGTTGGACATAATTGCATTACAAAACAAATCTTTCACGAAACACCTCAGGTCAATGCAGGCTATATACACAAGAAAGGGAGCGTTTACAGCATTTTACAATAAGTACCGCGGATGGATTTAAATTGCAAATTTAAAAATGCAAACTTATTTTGGATAATTCGCATCGGGTATAACGCATTTCCCGAATACGGTCCTGTATTTATATAGAATATTTCCCGCCGAATAAGTGAATAATTGCCATTTGCCTTACTTTGTACTTACTGTGTCGGATCGCATTCTTTCAGTCGGGGCCATAATGCTTTAAGTTGCAAAAGCGCGTTTGATAAATTTACGCTTGGCACGCACAACATCTCAAAGAACGCCTTAAAACTTGGCTCAGTACAGCGTTAGTCATTTGAAATAATATAAGCGAAGAAAATATCGATGATACCCGGTGAAGACTGTTGAATCCCTGACAGATAAACTAATGAATGATGTTCCATTGAAATAACGGTAATTTCGTACTCGAAATGTTAGTGTGCAGATCAGCAGCTTTTCAACGTGCGCTGATTAGTCATCGAGAACTGGCATCGATGTTGGGGTTATTTTTGCAAAGATCGTGTTACAAAATAATACACCGTTTGGATCAATAGTCCAGGGCTTATAAATATTGGTAACCTTTATCTAGGAAGCACTGCTAATCCAATCCATAAAAAACTAAACCATTTATTACTATCGAGAGAGATAACTAATGGAAAATGGGGGCGATCTAACCGCTGGTTGCAAATCCAAGTAGTATCACTCGGAAAGTCTTTGGTTTGTGACGCTCCTGATATCTTGGATACTTCCTTTGCGGATTTAGTTTTTTGCGTCCCCGAGTTAAATATATGTGCTCAGTTCAACTATATTGTTTGATCTGGAATTATAGTAATCGATCTGCTGTCATCATCCGTTAGCTTGATAGGGCGATGCGCACGCAATGGGATCGTAGATCATTCTGTTTATCTGATCCAAAGTGGAACTAGTTAGTTTCTTTCAACTGGATAAGTAAGGATTGTGGGACGGTAGCTATAGATGTGTTAAAATATTGCTCCAGAAGAAATGTTACTTAAAACTGTGAGAAAATTACAATGGCAACTTGGTTTCCTTTGGAATTTAGCCATTGTCAGAACATTTAGGGTGACAAAGTTTTTGAACAAAAATTGAAAGTAAAAACCCAGTACAACCGTATTTAAATGATGAATTTCATATACACAAGTGCCACATTGATACTAAGTGTAGTTTCAAAGAGTATTAAACTAGTTTCTATAATTGCACTTTCACTTTTGCAGGTTGTGGTTCTGTGTCGTCATAACGGAATCGACCAACATCTCCCCTTGTCCAACGCAGCCGGAACACATGAGGACGCTTTTCATGTATGCCGCATGTTTGGTGCTGTTTTCTTCAGCTTCCAAACAAATAGTAATTTCAGCACAAATTGTTACGCAGAATCGATCGGGTTTGTCCCTCCACCATTTGGACAATACCAGTGACTACAAATCCCGATCTGCAAGAAATGTGAAACCGGTGATATATATTGGTGAGTATAGCATAAAATTCTATACTTCCAATAATTTTACCTCATGACCAAAAGGGAGAATAAATAAATAAACTAGTAAACAGTAATTTGTTTCTTCTTAACAAAGCTGAGCACGGCTGCACAGACATGACCACGGTAAGAAGACGAGTGAATTGGTGAATGCAATACATATCACCAGCTTCCCATACAAACTGACCTATGGAGGCACATATGTATGTAAGTGTGTATATGTGCTTCGGGTTTACACTGTATATGGGGTGTGTGGATGGAGCTACGGTTGGTGCAGCGCAAGCCACCCATGGCCCCTCAGTAGGCTCAGGTGTCCTGTAGCTGTCATATGTAGACCACAGTGACAGGGAAATCCGGAACCGGATGCTGCCAACTATGTGGGCTTCATGCTAAGGTTGATGGTTCTTCACAGCAGTTGTGCTACAGCAACTTACACTTAAACATGACCTTCTTAACATGGATAAAAAGCATTCCACTTTAATAGATTTGCTCGGTTCTATTATTTCACTGCATATTCCTCGTCAATTTTGCAAGCAGTTTTCCCTCAAACTTTGTTTTGATTTTTTGTTATCCCCGCTGTGGCTGCGCTTGTTGTGAATGTCAATAAGTTTTCTAACTGTTTAACACCCACTACCTCGATTATCTGGTTCCAGAAGTCTGTGAATCGTTGCTGGGTTGATGGACTGCACGGTCGTTGTCACCATGCTGGGCTCAAAATGGGATTCCATCCAATGTGGAAAAGATTAGGGCACAACCACCGTCTTGTGTATGTCTTCTACGCATGATTACCTTTATAGCTAGACAGAAACGCGACTGGGGTGCATGTAGAAAGTGCGTGGGCCGTCCCCGTTAATGAAACTTGGCTCACATCCACGTGCTTCCCGGTCTTATTCCTTCGGGTTTACTCCGGATATGGGGTGGGTGGATGGAGTTGTGGGTGGTGCAGGGCAAGCCACTCATGGTACCTCTGTATACGCCGGCGTCCTGTGACTGTCTTATGGAAGCCACAGTGACAGACAAATCCAAAACCGGCTACCGCCAACTATGTTTGTAGCTGTCTTACTTCGTTTTTAAATATGCGTCTATAGTTTTGTATGTGTTTGATTGCCTCGTTAGTGTGCTACTGAATTTTTGGCGTCTGTGGATTGGATTCGATTATCCGGATAATCAAGTGGCTGCGACTTTGGTCTGGTCTAGTCAAAACTGCCAGTTCGCAACGTTTTTAAACATAAATATTCCGCTTTTATTGATATAACTTTGGCTAGGCATAAATCTGTCACCTTCTGGATCACTACCGCTAAACTATTTACTGGAACATCTTAAACCTGAAACAACCAGCTGGCACCATAGGAAGAAATAGCTGTGAACTAAGATGACAGTCGGTGCGCGTGGTTACAGTTAATGTTTTAGTAGACCGTTTCAGAGATTGCCACATTGCTCAACCTGAACTGTTGCCTATAACTTTATTTATTCCTGTTTTTTACTTCTCCGTCATGTTAAAAAAGTAATTGAAAGCAAAACGCAAAGCTACTGTTGGAGGTAATTTGTAATACTCTAAGACTTTCTTGAGTAGCCGATTATAATGTACAGAATGATCAGGTCAAACAGCTAGTCTGTGTCTCTCAATGTCAGGAATATACCATTCATTTACTCACTTAGAGTAGTTGCGCTTTATGAGCGAAGTGTTTGCATTTTAGATCACGTGCACATTGTTAACGACAGAGACCTATACTAAAGCTGCAACTCACTTGTCTGATTGCAGTTATTTGTGGCTGCACTAGGGAGATGATGTAAAATGTTTACTTCTTGCCCCGAGAAGTGTTAACTACCAAAATGATACTCATCTAGATATTTGAGGCACATTCCTCTCTGTTTAACGGTTGAGTCGAATTCCTGGCTTGTTCACAGCGTTACCATTCTGCGCAACAAATTTCATGCAACATTTACCTGTCCTTATTTTCTAGCGTGGTTAAGTTGCCATTCCGTTAGAGATCCTTCGGCGTTTTCTCAAGGCAAGGTTTTTTTCTGAAATACAATGTAATTTTAATGGGTTAAAATACATTGAAAGATAAATCTACCTCATTCCGTCTCGTACTTCACGGAACATGTGTAGACAAATTGTTATTTGTGCGCCTGAGTTTCTGATGCGCTAACAGATAAAATGAGCAAAAAGTGATATTTTAATGTATCAAATGAAAATAACTATGCTGGCAAGATAAGGGAGCTGCTATTCGGAAGATTATAAGTAATGTTGTTTGCGGGACATCCGCCTAATTTTTAAGTCACCTTTGCAACATGGCTAACGGTGTTTTTGAGGGGTTTTTACGAATGTATATAGCTTATGGCGCGTTGATTAAATAAACACTAGTCATACCGATGGCGTGAACTATTAAAATCGAGTCTTTTTGCGTAACGGCCGAGCTGTGTTCATGGACGTCGGTGAAAAGCGAAACGCACCTAGGCTCTTAAATTCTAACCGAATGCAAATCATAGTGGCCCTCTGGTGGATATGCTGCGTTGTCAATTGTAAGATGATACTTTTTACCACCAGGCTGTAACTGCGCTTCATATATAAAAGCGTGCGTGGTTAGAGTCCGTCGGGATTCAGTGGTCATGCTGATATTGCGGTCTACATGGTGTGCCACGTTCTGAAAATCCCAATGGTGGTACCTTATGTGGAAGAGGCATTAATCTATGGCTGCTACTTTACGGTCTCCAATTTGCAGTTGTGGTGTGGTGTGGCTAAGCCTTTGTGCGATTGGCTACTCTTTATACTGCCAAGAATATCGAAGATAATCACACATTTTAGATACAATTTGTATTCTACTTGCATGTTTTACTTCTGTTTTTGCTAACAAAATGGATTGCCTCAACGCCGTTTTGATCTTGAATCGATTGTTACGTTAAGTATACCGACCACAAAAGAATCAATGAAAAAGTGGTGTATTGCGGACAGAAAGCGAATGCTTAACACGTTCCTTTATCAATGGCCAAAATTAGAACCACAAACTGACGAAAAACTATAGTAATGAGATGGAAATGTTTTGGTAGACTCATCATAGTGTTTACATTGAGGCATACATAAAACAATCTACTGTGCTCGTGTGAGGTAAGGCTTGTTAGTGCACCGGTTTTACGTTCTATCACATCTCAATCTGCTAGGGATATATCTCATAATGGAAATGGGTTAAAGAAATATCGTCAGTATTTACACAGATACATTGGGACAGAAACAACTTATTTACTGAAAACCTGCACACTAAGAGAGAAAAGGTTTCGATAACATGCTAAATGACTGTATTGCATAGCTAACTTGAGCAGACTGCCCGCAGATTAGTGTTGTTTTTACGTTGCAGTAGGTGTTTCAGATTTGGCTACAATGACTCATAACCTGGTAAGTCATTATTAGATCACCAGGTAGTCGTCGATACTGACTGTTACGTAATCCTTAGGTTTTCAGGTTAAATTGGTATGGAAGGTGGAACGATACTTTAAAGTATTTGGTAGTTGTTGGCTGTGGAGTCCTAAACGTTGCGAGATCTTACGATTGCAAAGGATGCTAGGTCTTGATTGTGTAAATGTTACATAAGGCCACATATATTTATTAAACATCTGCGAGCTGACAGAAAAAACCGACAGAATGCCAAACTCAGAATAAAATCGTGTTGGTTACCCGTCTTCGACGCTCTCACATATTACGCTGAGCAACACAGATCAACCTAAATCAGTAGCCCAGTTTGCTCTCCTGGGTAAATGCTTGAGGAGTGTAGTCTCCAAGCTTTTATATGTCTTCGGCTGATAACACATCAGGATCACCTTATGCTTACATGTATTTAACTGAAGCAGACTGTTGAACGACCATTCATAGTCACTGTCCAGTTCTAGGTGAAGTGCATCTTGATCTCCTGGGTCGGTGATCGGCTGCCACAACGACACTGCACCAGGAAAATGCAAGAAATCCGGAACAATCAGACGCATGAGCTTGTCACTGAACTCGAGAAGCAGACGCGTCCCTAGCACTGAATTTTCTTGAACTCCAAATCTGACACGAATTGGATTAGGCGGCGCAAGTCAAACTCTGACATACAGTTGTCGATTCTGCATAAAATTCTTAATCTACTAAAGGACAAGATCCCTAATTTCATAGCCGTCAAGGTTATGCGACAGAATGCGGAGATGCAGGCGGCCAAATGCTTTGGAGAAATCGACGTAAACGACGTGGATACTTCTACCTTTGTCGACCGCTTCCATCAAACTCCTGCGTGTAATCAGTAAGATGGTTACGCATGATCCGTGAGGAGAAAAACGGCGATGCTACGACGCTCTGATTTTGCAGAGTTCCAGATGAATACTGAATACTGAAAAAAGGAAGCGAGAAAAGAAATACCTCTGTCGCTCCATCTTAGGTGAAACGGACACATACGCGGAATCACGTCGCTGATTCCAGCACGGTGACAGCATACTGCAGCTGCTCCACATGTTATCCAGGTGCCATATGCCCCTTATACCTGTAGCCCACAAAGTCGGCGTCAAGGAATCCCTTAACTTCCGACACCGACTTCGCTTGGAATTGGCAATTTGTGCCAATATATCACCACCACGCTCGAAGAATGGAGAGTGAACGATGCGCTTTAAATCCGCTACCACTAGTTTGTACTGGTGTCCGCGTGTGCTGCTTGGTGCGCAAAAGTGTAGCAGCGGCCTCAACGCAGAGAAGTGGCTTTTGTGCAGAATCCAGTGCGTCATAAGGATATCAACTTGAAGCCGACGATATGACAGGGCATAAAGCCTAGTCACCAGCTGACCGATACTTGTACGACATACCGCATAAACTGGGAATGAGCCTAGTAGCTGCTTGCTGGACCCGCTCCAGTCCCTGCCCTTCATCTATTCTGATCGGACAATAGGCGGGTTAGCCGTAGCAAAGCACCGGACTTATCATGGAGGAGAACAGATGGGTGACAATTCCTTCAGACCAAGTAAAAAAGCT